ATAAGTCCACTGGGCCAGGGTGTAGGCTGTGTGAGGGATGGTACTGCCAGAGGGACAAGGACACTGATAGTCTCAGATGCTAAATGAAGGAGTTTAGTGTTTATTCTATAAGCATATAAAATCTTTTTTAAAAATGAGCACGAGGTCATAAATCAGTCCTGTCTTTTTAGGAAAATTACCTTAGCAGTAATGTGTTGGATAAACTAGAGAAGACACAGGTTAAATTGGAGTGGCCAGTATGAAGGTTACTGAGGTGTTCTATGCTAGTGTGCAGTGAGGCTTGCACAGAGGCAGTGATGATAGTAGTTGAAAAAAGTGAATCTCAGTGGCTGAGAGGAATGGATAACCCTGTGAGAGGTAAAGAATTCAGAGGGAAGAATAAAAGAGGGGATATGTGTGGAGGGTTGATACATAAATATGTACAGCTTGGAGTTATGGCATGTCTTTGGGGCAAGAGGAAGTGTGTTAAGAGCTCAGAGGTAAAAGCTGAAATATTAATGTGAGAGTCAGTTACAGGAAGGTGAAAGGTGAAGCTATGGAGGAAATTGAGATCCCTAAGGGAGAGGTGACTGAGGATAGAAACTAAAGAAACAAATGCCTTCACTTAAGCTATTTTTTCTGTACTGACCCAGTGACATACACAACCAAAAAGCTATTTTTTCGAGGAATAAATAGATCCCACTTGATTACTTATTTGTTAGCACATGTCCCTACAAGTGGAATGAAAGGGAAATCATTCTTTACCTTTGAATTCTTAATGATTTAGCAGCCAAAAAAAGAGTACCTACTACTATGAACACCACAATAACAAATGGTTGTTTATTGCATTACAAAGTAGTAGTAGTGGTAGTAGTAGTGTAGTAGTAGCAGCAGCAGCAGCAGTAGTAGTAGTGGTGGTAGTAGTAGCGGTAGTAGCAGTAGTAGTGTAGTAGTGGCCAACAGATAGTACTTCCATAGTGCCAGACGCTGCTCTAAGTTCTTTACTTCCATTCACTCAGTGTAGACCTGTATTGCCCTCAAGGCAATGGTAGCTAAGGCTTCATTCTAATAGTGAAGAGTTTGTTTCAAAAGCATTCTTAAAAACATGCAAAAACAACATTTTTAGGGGATACCTTTTAGTATGAATGTGAAAAACATGGTATATTTGACCATGTGCTTCCTTAAAACAATCGAAATACATTTTTGTCTCCTCTTCTGTGGTGTCAAATGCCTTCAACAGGTTGAAAGAATTTAGATAATTTGTTTTACAGAGAGATAAGGGTCTGACATTTAACACAACCCCAGGTGCATGTGGTTTCTTAAAAAATGTCAAAAAGATCACATGATCTTAGTGTACAAAGTCAGAAAAACAAGATCTTTTTGAGTGTCTTAACTGAAATGGAGCATAAATAAAAATTCCCAGCATAAAAAGCAAGAAATTATTTAATTATACAAGTTTTAATTTTTGTCCATTTTTTGTTAATGATGAAGTTAATAACATCGCATTACATAATTTGCCGAACTTTTTGTTTTAAAGTTATTTAACCTGAAGTCTATGTTATTATTTCCATACTGACTTTGCAAAGTGAAGTGTAGCACTGGAAATAATTCAATGCTTTAATAAGTATATTTTTTAAAACATTTTAAATATTACAGATTTGTTTCAAATGCTAGTGAGATGGATTTTTTAATAATAGAAATCATTCTTTTCTTTATGAAGCTAATTCATCCACTTTCAATAATGATCTTCACCAGAACCACCCAAATCAGAAGTTGTATAATGATAAAAACATTCATATATAGTAGTTTCATACTCAACATTCTATTTTAAATATAAAGAATGAATATAATGAAGACTTTTTTTGTTCTTGATGTTATATGCATTTTGAATATTGGTGGTTAGGAAGATGGAACTAATGAGACTTAGCTATTGATCTCATAATTTAGGATTGCTTCTTTAGCATAACTCCATGTTTGTATTTTGACTGAAGGAATGTGGTTAAAAAACACATGTTATAACAAAGGAATTACTTAGCTTTTCCTCTATAAGTTTATTTGGTTTTATACTGTGTTACTATACGTTTTTCTGTAATACTATTATTGTTTAAAAATTGTTTTATAAGCAGGAAATGAATAATCTCCATGTCCCAGCAGGGAAATAAGTATTCTGAAGATTTGTAAGATTGATAAACAAGGAAATGGTGACACAGCTGACTAAATGGGGCCACAAATTCAGTGTTAAAAGAGGACATAAGCGTCCCTAGCTCCTCATCCTATACCCCAAACCATGCCTTTTACCACAACTAAAGGACTAGAGTCACATCCTGTATAACTCAATGGGAGATGTGTTTACTGAATTATTTCCTTGGGGGTAGATGTTTGTCATAGTTTTGTGTACACCCGGAAAATATAATTTCACTGAGTGCATTCATGAAGATTTGATAGTCTATACTTAAAATACACATTTACTTTTTTGCACAATAATTGTAACTATAGTAATGGAAATAAAGAAGGCACCTGTTATTCTACTGTACTATCAAATACACTTTCCTCCCCTAGTCCCTTCCAGTCCTCACCAAGAATCACTTTTGAAATACCTGAAATTTTGACTTACATTTTCTGGGGGGGTTATGCGAGTTGAATTCTGTTCATCTGGAGATTTACTTTGAAGCCCAGATCAGCTCCTGGCAGCCCCACAGAATGTTCCAGAAGAGTGTACTCACCAAATACAGCAGAAAAAGTGCCTTCTGAGGTCAGCCATCTCATTGGCCACCTGCAGGTTCCTCTGATACAGAACAATTCTAGGTGTCATTGCCAGAACAGGATATTTAGACCCAATATAATATCTAACCTACACAGTAGAAGGAATGCTTCAAGGAGTTTTTTTGGAGTAGGTCTAAATCAGACTCTCTAAGTCCTGAAAACCACTGTGACTTGCTCTCAGTTGAATTATGTTCTGGTTGGGAAAAAATTGCAGGAAAGGAGTAGGGTGCCACTTAAACACAAGTATTTATCTTACTGAAATTTACTCCCTGTTGATTACTGATTACTTCCTGTTGGTTAGCATCAATTGGGCTTTCCATTTAAATAAACAAATCTTATTGATTGCTCATGAATCCTCAGATTCAGATTTCATTTTGCCGAGAATGTAAATTCCTGAAAGATTTATTTATTCATTCATAGAAAGTCAACTGCTAAAAATAGTCTGACTTAGGAATCCTAGACAATTTTTAAAGCTTGACTTTATGAATATAAATGGGTTAATATTTCATAGATTAATTGTACAACCTTGATTCACTTTCCTAATGAATTTATAACTGGGGCAGACAGTGGAGCACAGATTATTTAATGCTCTCAAATGATATGATACTCATTTTTCAAAAAGTAGACTCAGATAAAGCATAGCCTTCCAGAAGATTTTAGGTACCCTAGAAAATAATTGAGTTAAAAAATACCTAAATCCTATCTCTAGGATTCCTAGCCTAGGAATCTCTAGGGTTCCTATCCTTGGAATCTCTAAATTCCTATCCTAGAAAATTGAGAACCCTATGAAATTTAATGTAGTTTATAGTATGGTGAATAAATCAAACTTGTACCTTTTCCCTGGAAGTAGAGTCAACTTTCTCCTGGAAGTACCTTAGCCTAGCTTTCAGGTCAAAGCCGTACTTGATAGATAGCAAAACTTTCCCATACCTGATATTTAATTTGCCTTTTATGAATTCATAGGTGGGAGGGATAGGTTATTTTGGGGCAGGGTAAATTCTGTCCATTAGACTACTAGTTAAGCAGCAGATGAGGGGAAGTTCTGTTGCCTGTAGCAGCATCAGGGATGAGAATTAATCTATTAGGTGAATATACCATGTGTATTATTGTATGGAAAATTTAAATCAACATATGCATTGAATCAGTTTAAACACTGATGACTGTTTCGTTTTGCAGCAAATTATGCTCAGAGATGCAGATTGTCTTTGTCAATTTTGTTTAACACAGGTTTAATGCAGTAAATATAATTTCACAAGCCAATAGCATACAGGATAATGTCTTTTAATAAGCCAATAAAGAAATATACTCCAAACCAATGATAAATAAAATAAAGAAATGAAGTCAAATTCATTTGAGGTTTACCTTTCTACAGGTTGGTTCTCAGGAAAGTTGCCTTAGTCAACCACAAGCTGAAGGCACAGAAGGGAAAGTCAATTGTTGCTGGAGCATGTTGCTAGGGAACAAAGACTCCGTGTCTACGGGCTAGGTGATCTTGGCAGGGCTTTTTATTGCTGCCAGTAAAGGGTCTTACCCTGGTAGGAGCTAATGCCCCCAGGTCTTCAGAGAGCTGTTTAGATCAGCAGAGTCACCTTGCTGGAACCAACCATTCTCAATCCTCACAGGCTCTGGGTATTTATAGACTAAATGTCCCCTCAACATAGTTGCTTCTTCATTTGTTCTTATTGAGAAGCCCCTGGCGGTGCCCCTCAGCTGCTGAGCTGCTGAGTGCTTTAGCAGCAGCCACAGGCATTGATGATGATATACTGATGCAACCACGTCACTCTTACAGTAAAAGAGCTTTACTTATAAAAACAGCTTCATTCTTAGATCGGAACAACTTCATTTTTGTTATGAACAAATGGATTTGAAATCATATCAAACCACTACACAGCAGCTGTTGATAGTGGGAAATGATAAATCATGACTTTTCTGATACCTCTTTATACCTTAAAATGATGAAGTCTATTTTATTTTATGTATTGTGATAACACACTCTTGAATTTCTAAAAACTCCATATTTTCTCAGCAAGATCAAAGTTAGTAAAAAATATAGTTTATCAGTTGCTCACAGTAGATTTTCAATGGCCAGTATTAACCCTGTGTTTCAATATCAGGCTATACTCCAGTTTGGGCCATTGAATAAGGAGGAAACAAAATAACAACTCAAAGTCCTTTTTTGATTTTCTTAACAATCTCCCTTATTATAAAGCATAATAATTAAAGTTTATCAATTTTTTCTTTTCGTTTCCTTTTTACAGGAACACCAGTGTATTCAGTAGCATGGGGCCCTGATTCAGAAAAGATTCTTTACACAGCAGGCAAGCAACTGATCATTAAACCTCTTCAACCAAATGCTAAAGTTTTACAGGTACTTCTCAAGCATTTGTTAATTGTTAGCAGGGTCTGCCAGGCTGCTAAGTAAAAGGTCACTTTCCTAGGAGTCCCTTCCTTCTGGGTGGTCTTATTACAGTCTGAGGCTTTTAAGTATGTAGTTTTATCAGCTTTTATTACAAAACAGGGAATATCTGGTTATATTTTCAACAAGGTTCACTTCCCCCTTATTCCAACTCACATTATACCAATAAATCATAAATGTGTTTTGAGTTACTAAAATGTCACATGATTTGGCACAATAGCCATCTTTCAGTTTAGCAGTCAACCTCACATATATAGATTTGAGGCAAAACAGGACTAAATCATAAAACTTAAAGAGCTTGTTTAGACATTTTTTTATCAACATCTACCGAATCTTCTTCCTCTGCCTCCTCATTGTCTGTTCAGTACACATGAGCTTTCTCTAAGACCCTAAAATTCTTTTAGTATTTTTAGAGTGGAGGGGAGGAGTCAGTGTAATGTTTAGAACAAATTGGGTGTATATAATTTTACCATTATATAGAAGCAAAACAATAATGGCAGTTAAGACAGGTCAGGGTAGTTCAAATGAGTGGAAAACCTTTAAGCCTATGTGCAGGATTTGATGTTTGATTTCAATGTTGAAAGGCAGAATCATTTTCTTCACATTAAGTATAGTGTGGATAAGAAGAATATAGGCTTCTGACTTCCTCACCTAGGTTCAAACGCTCACTTACTTATATATGACTTGGGGCAAGTTATAAAATATCTCAGAGTCTCAGCTTTCTCATCTCTTAGGTGCTATGCTGATACATACTTGATAGGATTGTTGTGAGGATTAAATAAGTTAAATTGCAAAGTGCGTAGGACAGTGCATATAGTAGGCATATTGAGTGCCAAGATAAGTGCTCGATATAGAGTAGTTGTTAGTATTGCTGTTAAGGTATTATTATATCATCTCTATCAGTTAGAGCCAAGGAGTCCAGATAAATGGTATAGAATGACTAGGCCCTGGATAAGGGATCTGGTGCTGGAGATGGACTGTCAAGACAAGTATGGAAGGAAGTATTGTAAGAAGCAGCATCAGATTTAACAGTTGAGTAGATAGCCAATTTGGCGAGTAAGGATGTAGAAATGACTTTGAGGTTCCATATTAATAACTTCTGTGTAGGTTTGGCTATACATATTCCATACAGTCAACATGCATTTACATTTTTACTGCATGCAGAACGCTCTGCTAAGAACTATGGAACAACAAGAAATAGAAGAATTTGGGCAGAGGGAAGAAGCTGAGAAAGAGGACTGGCTCTGACTGCCTTTGGTCAGAGTCCTTCCATACCACTTATACTCTGCAAATGTGCTGTGAAATTCTGCAGCAAAAATCGGCAAGATAATCTTTTAGTTTATAGTTGTGTGATTTCTTTAGATACCTGTAATTAGGCTTATATAAATGAAACTCAGGAAGATGGTGATGTCACCATTGATAAATTAAGTTACAGTTTAGTGGTGCAGTAGAACCTTTGGCTCAGGAGTTAGTGGAGGAAAAGAAAAGTATCCATTGCCAAAATTCAGCTAGAGTTAAAGTATAATTAGTAACAGTGCAAATCTTCTATTCCTTTTGGAAAACGAAAGCAGCAGCAGTTCTCCTTGGGCATAAATACATACTCAAATTTGGATTGTTGACAAAAAAGAATGCTTATTTAATTCTTGCTTGTAGAATACAGTTCGAAAGTATATATCTCATTTCCCTTAAGAGCTTGAGGGACTCTTCTAAGGACCCAGAACTTGATTTCATACTGAGGAGACTTCTATTTATTTAGTCACTGAGAATATGGTGCATACTTACTACAGCCCCGGCACTATGCTAGGTGTAAGGTATTCAGAGTGAAACGGAACATAAATCCTGCCTTCAAGGGGCTTACTGTTCAAAGGAATTTCACAAAATGCCTAATACATTAAGAAATAATTGAAAACTGTCTATGCATTATATGTAGTATCTAAATATATGTAATATGTAATTGATATCCTAAATTACAGTATCAGGAAATTTTCAATCATATTTTATTTCTAAATTTTGATATGTAAAATTTTATTTTTTTAGCTTTAAAATGAAACTCTTGAGAATCTCTGCATGTGTGTATCCATATATATCTGTATCTGTATCTATACATTATTTTCATCATTGTGGTTTATTTCAGGACATAGGATTAATTTAGCAGTAAATTGTGAAAATTACTGCTTATCAAAACATTTGTTTTTGAGTATGTATTTTTATATATCTTGAGTAAAGCAAGCTATGAATTACTGCTTATTTTTGGAGCTTATTTGACCCTAATTTGATATTTTATTCTGTATACGTTAAGAACAATAGAGTGGGAAGGGTCTATGGAGAGGGCCCTCAAAATCAACCACTCTTTGATGCACAGTTATTTGGCTCAGATATTAAAATGTACCTTATAGTCGTCAAGAAAATTAATTCCTTTTTAGTTATTCTACTTAAACATAGTGAAAGATAACTTTTAATTACTTGTGTGGTAATAGTTAAATGAGCACATAAATTATATTTAAGAGCAAGAAGACTTCCATGCTTACTTTGTAGATTACCAATTTTGGGGTGACATATATACACTAATATGTACGCATTCTACGTATGTATAGAATATATATATCTGTGGAAAACTTCCTTTTGTTAAATCGTAAATGGAGCACAAGTTTCTCAAGGGTAGTCAGTGACTACTCCAGAGACATGAAGGTAAGGAGAGTGAAACTTAGAAAAGTGTGCAGAAAATAATAAAGATAGTACTAAAGAAGGTGTTCATATAGTAGAAAATTTTGAAAAAAGAATTAGTAAACAAGAATGAAGGTAGTATCGGTAATGGGATCAGCTGGGCAAAGGGAGCAAAATTTGGATTCAGCTGAGTTTCAGAATACAACATATTCGTTCTATTATTATCCCACAAATGTCAAGCTTGGAATAGTTTAACAGCAAGTGATTTTCCATCTGGAATCCAGGCAATTGAGGAAATTTATAAAGATGTAAGTTATATAGTGGATGTCAGAGTATGACATGCTTTCCTTAGTTTACACTGGAAATGAAACAAGCAAATAGGTTATGCATAATGGCTATGAAAGGAAGATAGGAACCTTCTCCAAGAAGACAAGAGAATCATTAGAAAGAAAAAAATGTCTTTTCTTATTTAAAAAACTTTTCAGTGCTCTTGAAGTTATAATTAATGTTATTTGTTTTTCTTATAGTGGAAAGCTCATGATGGCATTATTTTAAAAGTAGATTGGAACTCAGTCAATGATTTAATTTTATCTGCTGGTGAAGACTGTAAATACAAGGTATGTAATGTTTGAATGTATCACCTGGTTGAAAGAAATGAATTTCAGTGAAAAGTATTTAACATATAAGAATAGTCTTTTAGTCCTTCACTTTAGCCATATCTTTTAACACTGATAACTTAGCAAGTTGTTATTTTACAATTTTAAGTAGTATTTTGAAGTGTTGCCTTTCTCATTGGCCTATTTCATTGACCTATAGAATTTGATTTAAAGAGTAGCAACATAAATATAATTCCTAGCTTTAGTGACTATTTAAGTCAAATCAATTTAAATTTTAAAAAGTCAACCTTACTGGTTTATTAAACATTAATCAGCTTCAGGAAGAAGAAGAATAAGATTTAATGTAACTAAGGTTAGAGGAAATGTAACTGAAATAAATACTTTCAGGGAAAGTTGATAGAGCATTTATTGGACAGAAAAATGTAAGCAGAAAACTGATCATCTCAAAACTTTGTTATTAAATTTGAAATTACTCAAGGTTTTATGATTAATTAAAGACTTAGTAAAATCTGAAGTTATCACAAGGTTACCATAACATTTCTTTTGAGATATTTTGGTTCAAGGAATACAGCGTCCCTTCCCACCTCCACCCCGCCTTGTTTGATGGTAAAGACATGCAATTGCTAATATTATAAAGTAATGATTTCTAAATCTTTACTTGGTACTTTACTGGAGGGCAAACTTGTTTGTAATAGCATGGTGACTATTATAAAAATTTTTTAAAAATTTGCTTTTTGTAGGTATGGGATAGTTACGGCCGCCCTCTGTACAGTTCGCAACCTCATGAGCATCCGATTACCTCAGTTGCCTGGGCTCCAGATGGAGAATTATTTGCTGTTGGATCGTTTCATACTTTACGCTTGTGTGATAAAACTGGGGTAAGTTATGGTGGTGAGCAGTCACACATGTGCTGTCATAAATGTGGTAATGCACAACACACCTGGCTCTCAATCTTTAAAAAACATTTTCAGTGATGCGTTTGACCGCATCTTTCTGATTTGTCTTCTTAATATACTGGTTCAATCAATTCCAGATTTATGGGACCGTGCAAACTCTTTTAAGTTCAGTTTGAAAAATGGGTATGTTCTCTACTATTTGTCTCTCTGGAAATACTTATTTTAAGCATGATTGTGAAAGATGGTGAAGTAAATATTAAAATTTATGCCCAATCAATATAGAGAGTTCAGTTTTGAACTTTTTTTTAAACTGTGAGTATGTTTCATACAAAAATTTTGGTTGCATATTTTTGGTAAGAAATTGATAGTAAATTTTTTAAATGGTCATTTTAAAATCAAAGGACTTTGGTTTTTGTCAAGAATTCATATTTGAATGTGTGCAACACTTTGCCCTCACAAGAGAATATGCCCTCTATACAAATTATGTTTAGAGTTTAGGCAAACAGCCAAGCTCAACAGCATTTACCCATTGTACTTGAAGAATGAATTTTTTCTTCAAAGTGCTCCAGAGGCAACAGCATTATATGAGTGGGACTATGCCATACTGTTCTTTACTGTGAGGAAATCACATAATTGTTTTTTGGCTTATTTTCCTAAAGTGCAAAAGGAGACGGTTAATTTAGAATTTTTAGAGATTTATAAATGACCTATTAAGTTTTCTTGTTACTTGTTTTCTACTTATGAAAGATAAAGTCCTCTGCCTGATTTTGAAGCTCTCTGAAACCTGGTACCATAAAATCTGTTGTCTTTTCTCCCCACAACTCCCTAATTAGTGTGTGTGCTCAAATCAGACTCAGGAGTCTTCTGTGCCCCTCACTAATGTCCTCACTCATCTTCTCTTTTCATGGGATGCTTTCACCTCTTATGCTTAATGAATTCTTCCTATTCCTTAAGGCCTGTCTCATATTTGACTTCCTTTCATGATACCTTCCATAGATAATCCGAAGTTTATTTGTCTATTTTTCTAGCTTCCTCCCACCTAGATCTCTTTTCTTAGTTATAACATCAGACGTTAAGTTAGATCACCTCATTTTCATCTGATTTTCTATCAATGATTCTAAGCCTATAGAATATATACTCTCATTTTTACAGTGTATTATGCTCTTTTATTGTCCATTTTCGTTTTATGTATATTATTTTTGACTCCATAGATAGTTTATAAGATCCCATAGCTTAATGATCCTCTATTACCTGGTACAACATGGTAGATACTCAATAATTCACTAATAAGTCAATTTAAGCATAATAATTTTAATTTGTCATTTTGATGAAAATATTTAAAAATTTTAAAAACATGCAGCATTGAATTGATCTGAATAACTGAATTAAAGATTTACTTAATTAAACACCAAACCTATTTTTAGAAGGTTAACTGTTCTGGAAAAGTAAACTTTCTAAAAGGATTTTGCTTTTACCTTGTTCAACTGAACATACTGACTACATTGTAGTAATTTTTTAGGACCTGAGATTAACATTTTAAATATATTTTCTTTTATTCAGTAGGCATCAAATATATATTATTCATCAGAGAGTATTTTAGAAACTGGGGATGGAAAGCTATTAAGATTTTCACTCAAGTTGTTAGCAGTCTAGCAGAGAATCAGACTATAAAACTATGGAAATGCTATACAAGAGGTTGTTTTGTGCAAGCCCAGTAAAGGTGTGGTAGAGCCTAACTCTGCCTGTAGGACGTTGACTGGAGAGCTGAGGCTTGAAATTTGTAGTTCTCCAAGGAGACAAGTTGGGGGAAGAGAGATGTAGGCAAAAGGAACCTCATGTGTATCAAAGAAAGTATGGTGCTTTTTGTGCAGTGTCAAAAAGGTTTTGCATGGGATGGTACCAGGAAATAATACAGAAAAGATATTCTCAGACCACA